CGCCGAGTGCTGTCGGGGCCGGGGAGGCCGCGGGGCCGGGAGCGGAGGGCAGCGGGGGCGCCCCCGGCTAAGGGGCTGCTCCGAGCACGGTGGGGACTGCCCAGGTTCTGCCCTCATTTCTGCCCTCGTGGCAGCAGGGTATTTTAAAAAATTGCATTCCTCTGTGACAAAGTAGAGTGGTTTTTGTACCCAGTGAATAATTGAATGCCTGTGAGGTGCAACACATGGTATTTATTTGACGGGAGCTGGTGCAGTGGGCAGAGGCCCAGGATAAAATGCTGTGGCTCAGCTGTGTTGCTGAGGGGGGAATGTGGTGTGGGTGTGCTGCTGTGCAGGCTTGCCTGTTAACCAGCTCCTCACCCAAACAAAACCTGTTTTACAGCCCAGTAGATACTGTATTTCTCTAAAGAGCAGGTGTGCAGGTCTCCTCCTGGGAGAAAGAAAGAAAGACCATTGGCAGAATGGAGGAACCTCCCTGAAGCGAGCAGAGTCCCAGCATGGGAGTCGACAGGGGCTGGGCAGGCCTGGGGCACTGGGAAGGGAGGAAGGTACCTGGTACATGGTGGGAAGGGTGAAGGGAAGCGGTGCACGGAGCGGAATGGGAAAGGGCTGGGAGCCGATCTGCAACACGAGAGGTGCCTAGAGGTGGTACCTCCAAACACCATTCAAGCCAGATGGCAGTGCACCACAGTGCTGCACTTCATGTGCCCGGGTGTCTGGGAGGAGGTTAGAAAAGGCATGAAGCATTGCTTGGAGATGGTACTGTGTGAAAAAACTAGTCATCTGTAGGGAACTCAGGATTTAGATGTATCATTTTAACTGGTAGAGATGACATTATGGTTCTCAAAATGCTTTTTCTTTACTCTTCAGTATCCCCTCTGCTTTTAAGAGGTGAGTCCAGTTCATCATTCAGGAGCCAATTTTGCTTAAAGGATTAGCTTGTGTTGATGGAGATGAGTATAAAAGTTGTTCCGCACCACAACTTTTGGATATAGTCTGTTAAGAAGGAATGAAACTGCTTGTTCCATTCTGCTTGCTGTTCTTCAGCCCTCTTGGCCAACCCCATGTGATGATAAATCACTTTCACAGCGAGTACAGGCTCTGCAGGCATCACTGGAGGTTTGCACTGTGGTGTGTGTCCCAAGCTGTTCTATCCTGGCCCCTACTTCACTGTGAATTTGAGAGGATTTCTTAGAGGATCTAAGTTAAAACAGTGTTAAAAATAATACCCATTATATTTCTGTATCCAAAGATGCAGGCTCTTTGATTAAACAAGCTGAAAAAACTGTTGCTACAGACTGGAAAAAAAAATTGACTCCGGAGCAATTTTATGTTACAAGAGAAAAAGGAACTGAACCGGTAAGCAAAATGCTTTCCAAGCATTAGCTCATTCTCTGCTGCCATAAAATTTTCTTTGGGGGAGTTGGTTATTCAGTTGCATAACAGGTTTCCTCCCGCCTTTCTGTGGATGAAGGCTATGCTAAAAGTATTGAACTGCCTGGAATTTGTTCTGCTCCAGACTGGTTTGCAGATGAGAAGAAAAAAAAAAAGTTAAAAAGTTCTTAATTATTTTCAATTTTCTCTGCGAAAAAAGAAAAGTTAAAAGTCTAAGCAAGTCAACTCAGTCTTGTCTGTAGCAGTAATGGAGACCTTTCTAATGGGAAGGAAGGAAGAGAATTTATCTTCCCTGTAGTCTCTTTTTTTTTCTGTTCTTAACCTCAGGTAACTAGAGGAGCCTGATGATCCCACGTGTGCCAGCCCACACACTCACCTGTCCCTGTGCTTTCTTTCCTTCTCTAGTTGAGGCTGTATAACCTTGTGGGTAGAGTGCAGGAGTTCCTTAACCAGGAATCAGGGATCTGTTCAGCCTAACGTGTGCCATGGGATTCAAACATGGGAGCTGTGCCCGAATCTTTGCCTGTAAAATAAGCATCTTAATTCCTGACTCCCCAGGGAAGAGCAAAGCTCCTTTGCAGAGCGCTTTGAAGTTGTGAAGTAAAAGACTTGATCTTTGGGATCCTGCACATTGCATGAGGTCCTCAAAGATCGTGGCTACAGCCCAAGTACCTGCATGATTTATGTATCTGCCTGGGCTGGGAGTTTTGGGGGGCAGGAGGGAGCCTTCACTGCTAATCCAAAGGCATTCTCCTCTTCATTTCTTCAGGCTGCTAATGTTTGTTCTTCAAAGCCCCCCTGCAAAGCTTTCTCCTTGATTTTTTTCCTCCTGTTTTGAATCTGATTCCTACGTGCTTGTTCCAGATGGTGAGATTTTAAAGACCTACATTACTATGTTATTAACTTCCCTTTTCTCTTCCTTTTTTTTTTTTTTTTAAAGCCTTTCAGTGGGATCTATCTGAATAACACAGAGCCAGGAATATACTACTGTGTGTGCTGCAATGCCCCACTCTTCAGGTAACAGCCTTTGGATTTCACAGCATCCTTAAAATGCCCTGCCTGTGTCTCCATTAGAGGAATGGAAAGCTTAGTTAGGTCACGAAAACAGGTTTTTGGTGTCAGAGTGCTATGTGCTATGGATGAATTTTCCAAGATAGTTGTGGCAGTACAAGTACATGGTGGCCTTTTTCTTGAACAGAAAAGGGTCTGCAGTGGCCTGGTGACAGCTGTTATATACTAGGGGTTCTACATTTTACTCCTGCCACACACAGTCTCCTTTTTCGTTGATAATAAGTCTCTGCTTAGAAGGTCCCTAAGCCACAGGCTTCTACAAACTGAGTGTGTTTATGGGTGAGTATCACTGTGTGTTTGCTCTGTTCCTTTGCTCTTCCATGGTCACCGCTGCTGTTCATGGCACTGGCCTAGGAGGGCTGTGGTCTGCCCTAGTATATATAGCTGCTGTTGGGTCTTTATTTGCTGGGTTCTGTGTTGATTTGGAGCTGATCTCTCCTTTCTTGTGCCCTAAGTTAAATTCCACTCTTTCTGCCTCTTCAGCTACCTCTACTTTTAAAACCTGGCTGTGAAAGACTGTGCTGTTAACCTCTGTGCTCTTTAGAATACTATATATTTTGCCCCTTCATTAAAGTCTAAGTAAAAGGAAATAGAGTGCCTCAAAGTAGGATATGCAGATGGTGTTCTGCTCTCTGTAGCTAAACCAGAAAATACATTTCCTCATATTTTTGATCTAGAAAATAGCCTTTATATGTTTCCAGCTGAGAGTTCCATGGAATACAGCTAATATGCCCATTTCTGTGAGTACTTTAAAGGATGTATCATGGATCAGAACTTTGAATAGGAAGCTGAAGAACAATATACATGGAGAGTAAGAGAGGGGGAAAATTTATGTCTGTATTAAAAAAAAATTAAATGGCAAAATTGGAGCCTAATAATTGTGACAGTTTTCCTTTGATCAAGTGTGGAGAACCATGTTACACAAGCATGTGATGGCTTAAAATAGATAGAGGTTTACTGATAAAAAGGTTTAAATAAAATGATTTTTGAAAGTAGTGTGGCATTGCAGAATACTCTGAAGACAAATACAAAAACTACAAAAAGCCTTTTGAAAATCAGATACATTTTAAATTACCAAGTTGTGAAAAAGTTGATATTTCCTCAATTGAGGCACTTATTATATTGGACAATAACTATAGTTAGGCCAACATGAAGAGACTGAGTACTGAACTAAAGAGAATTGCTTTAGCTACTAAACTGGTGATATGATATAACAGGCATGCTACATTTTGCAGTATCCTGCTGTAGGAGAATATAGGCACTTCTATTTGAAGTATAAAACAATACTAAACCACAAAGATTTTTACAGGGTAAAATAACATTTAAAAAATAAGAAATTTGAAAATTATTAGTGTTCAAAAATGGGCTGAAAATATTTTTCCATGAATGCATTATGGTATGAAGGACACTAACAATCATTAAAAAATGGCATTTGATAAGAGATTGATTCATCATGTTTATTTCCTAGTGCATTAAAAAATGTCCTTTCTTTTTCAAATATGTTAGAGCATTAGCCACAGGTAAACTCCAAGCATTTCCTCCTTTATCCCTAAGGATGCATGTGTGTTTATATAGTTATACCATAATTTGTTATGGTATACTAATTTGAAAGGGTTAGAAATAGATGAAACAAAAAACCAACCTTTATGGATAGCAAATTGTGTGCTTTAATGAAATCTCAAACCTTTGGTGAACCATAAATCTATAGCTGAGATTCATACAGAAAGAAGCACTTTTTGGAATTATCTGGATTCCATCCAGGACAACTGAAATAGGGATCAAAGTAAATGACATGTGCAGGGGGAATGGTGTGTTGAAGGCTAATCTAATGCATATGTTAAGGGAAAGTCCATTTATCCATAAATTAAGTGGTGAAATACTTCAAAGGACAAATATGATCAGGAACAGCAATATTTTGGGGTACTAAAATGTTTCTATTAGGGAATCTAAGTGATATTCCTGTTAGTAAAACCACACAGAAACAGTTCCTGTTTAGAGCTAGTTTAGCAGCTCAAGGTTATCTATCCTTCGGCAGCACAAGGCATCTCCCATAAACCTACGTGCTGTGAGGGACAGTCAGAGATAGATATAAAGCCCATATGGTTTTACATAGAGAGACTTTTCTTGGCTTCACTACGTTTCAGAGTGATGTCTCTGTACCAGAAGGATCAGAAACAGAAGCATCTTTGGGCCAGTAAATGAAGAATCCTGACTGAAGTCTTTTTGAAAACGCTAAATCTGTTAATTCAGTAGTACTGATATGGTTTGCATTATTACATTTTTAAGCCTTTGACCAGCTTGTTTATCTTGTCTTTCTAAAACATATTGCTATGTTCTTTTCTAATGTATTAATATGCCACCAAAATATACATCCTTCTCTTCACTCAGTGTTTTACTTTTAAGTTATATGTTCAAACATTTAATAGGCCCTTATACCCTAGTAGTTACCAGGGGTGTCGATGTCTCCATCTACCACTAGGTGCCAGTAAGAGCATTGATTTTGTAAACCGAGGAACATAGGCTAAAACATGGGGAACCTGAGAAAAACCGATGTGGTTGTTCTTCAGGCCACTTACCTTAATGGTATGTGAGCTTCCTGGTGTGCAAGGCTGTGCACGTGTCTTGTCTTTAAAGTCACAGTAAGTCACTGAATTCTAGATAAGAGTATTTCTCGCTATTAAAATTTTAAAGAGGACTTTTTTATTTCTGTATGGTTCTGCCTGGAAATATTTTCTGATCATAATTTGCAATACACTCAAGTTTTAATTGCAGCCCAGCTGGATTGCTAAGCCTGTGTATGAATGGTAGGGGTCCACAAGGCAGCAGTCTATAGTATCTTTATCTAGTGGCTGTGGTTTTCTCTTGGGAAAACCAGATCTCTCTGCTACCAGATTTCTTCTTTGGTTGACTGAAGTTTTGAGGGAAGCTCCATGCGATTTACCAGACTGTTCTGATGTCTGAGTCACTTTGCAATCTGCAAGCAGAAGCCAGGCCTGCTGGGCCAACCTAATGGTTCTCCACTTTCATTCCCTTCTTATGTTACTTTTGTTTCTTCCTGAAGCTCTGTTCCCTGAGGCTCTGCTGTGTTGAGCCGGGCTTTGAACTGCAACTTTACAAATGCAATATTGGAAGAACAACTTTTCATGCTTTATAAAATGCTGTGAAATAGAAATAACGAGGCAAAAGCTCCAACTGCAACCTGATCAAGAATTGTGAGCTGAGCAAGTATCAAGAATATGGAAAACAGGTTCCAGCACAGTTTGATGCCAGGAAGAATTTTCCCACTGTGCTAAATATTACTAAAAGTTCTACAAGATAGGGATGAAGAAATAAACCAGCGTTATTGCTAAAAGCAAAGTTTTTGTAATATCTTTGGTCTTAATTAACAACAATACCTGGTTTCCATTATAGTTCAGAAAAGAAGTACAATTCTGGAACTGGATGGCCGTCTTTTTCTGAGGCTTATGGTACTTGTGGCAGAGATGAAAGTAATACCAATATCATGAGGAAACCAGATGACTCACTGGGATCAACAAGGACTGAAGTTGTCTGCAAACAGGTATATTTATTTTGGAGGTGAGGCCCAAGATCACCAAGGATCCAAATCTGAGCAAATATGTTTTATTTGTATCCATGAATAAATCTACCCAAACACAGTAGTGAGAATTACTAGATCATTGCAAATACTCTGCTTGGCTTCTTGGCTTCAAATACATGGGAAGAGTTCTCAGTGTCAAATGTAGACAGTTAGTTTTGCTCAACAAGGTGATGTGACCAAGGAGAGCATCCTTGTTTAAGTACAGCCAAGGGTTGGAATTTATACAGAAAATGTGCTCAGAGAACAGCAAGTGAATGGCAGTAAGTGATGACAAATGACAGGAAGGAACTTGCAGATTTAGCACACCCATCAGCTCCCCTACAGGATCGAGTATCCTCCTGATACAGTCTGGCTCCCTGTTTGCTCAAACTGTGCTAAAATACCAGTGATAGAGACTCTACACCGTCACTAGATAATCAGTTCTAATGCCACTATTAGGAAGGTATTATACATAGAAAAAAAAAAAAAAAAAACTAAGTTTTGAATTCCTTTTGTCTATTTGTTTGGAGACTGACGTTTACCCATTGGCCAAAAGCGATTGCTTGAGAATTTATTTCTAGTCTTACCAGTCCCAAAAGATTTCCTACTACCCATGCAATTCATCACCGGATTCACCCCCAAATTTCTTTATTTGGGATAGCACATATCTCAATGCAATGTACAAGCAACCAGATTGAGTACAGTTGTCACAAATTGTGTTCCTATTGGGGGTCAGCTTTATAAACACAAAGGCAGTTCCTTGTACTGTGTTATGCATTCTTCCATGTGTTGTCTTCTCTAGTAGGTAGCCGCCACCCGCCTTCTGATGTGTCAACGTCTTTAGTTTGTCCATTAACTCCATCATCTGGCTCCAGTCAAAAATACCCCATGTTTAGTTCATGCCTTTCCTGAACATTCCTGGTCTAAACACCTCCATATTGTCCATCAGCCATACTGTCCACCTCCTTCATATGTTCACATACACATATTGCTTAAATATATATGATTTTAGGCCTTCACAGCATTGCTTTTGTTTACAGAGGCTAAACTGATTTCAAACTAACCCATCTTTTAGTGGCTTTATGTTTCAAGTCTTTTCAGACATTTTTATAAGCATCACTCTAATGTGCATCACTCAAAGCATCTTCAGGCACACTGTATCTGCTCAGCTGCCTGTTGGAAGATTGGGCTGCAATTAAGATCTGTGAATTGACCATTTTCCCTGCGAGTTTTATTCCGGTCCCAAAGTTTGTCCTTTGAAAGAGTAAACTCCTGGCCTGGAATGTTTGATAGCTCCCGAGGAGAGGCAAGAGGAGCTGCTCCCTGCTCCCCTTTCCTGGTCAGCGTGTGCAGCAGCGGCGCGGCGGGACGCGCGGCGCGATGCAGCACGGACGGGTGTCTGAGTTGCTGCTGCTGAGGACAGCTCTGTCTGTTGCAGTGTGACGCGCATCTAGGCCACGTGTTTGACGATGGTCCTGCACCTTCTGGGCAGCGATTCTGCATCAACAGTGTTTCATTAAACTTCAAACCGGGCTGCGGCCGGTAAGAAATGGATCTATCTTTGTGGCTTACAGAACTTCCTTTTGCTGTTCATACAATAAGCTTGTGAAAAGCGATATTTTTAAATAGATCTGAAATTGGAGTTCCTTATACTTTGGCAGTTTTATTTTTATAAGTGTTGATAAAATACTTATTTTTATGACACATGCTTGGCAGTCTGCCTCTTCATGGTCCGTAAGCAATGATGTAAGCATTGATGTTTACTGTATTTCTTCATAAAAAAAAAAAGTGTGATAATCCATAGATTCATAGCTGTCATCATAACTGTATTGAGAATGTTGAAATGAGATGCTTTCTTGAAGCTGACTTTGCCTATGCTGAACTTAAAATGTTAAAAGATATTTAGTTGTGGCACCCAGGAATACAGTTACGCACTGCTGATCATGCCAGAGTTTTTTACTTCCATATTTTGAGTTCATTGTATTCTTTTAAAGAAAAGCAAAAAATAACATAAATATCCAAGTAAGGTTTGAGAGTTGTTTTTTTTCTTCCTCTCTGATGTGAGAGATATTTGGCCACATCAGTGACTTTTCTGTGAACCATAAAGGCAAATTCTGAAGTAGGGCATAATTTAAAACTATTCCAGGAAATGGAACCAGTGGAGACACAGAGTCTTTCTTCTTTAAATCAATGACCAATAGGTCATGGAATATCTACCCTCAAGTAGGGTAGAAACTTTCTGTCAGAGAAATGTTATTATGACAATGTAATGATCGGTGTAGTATCTCCTGACTTCTGTTATCACTGGTGTACTTCAGAATCCCCCCAAAAAGAATGTAATTTTTTCTGTATTTGGGGCAAAGGCAACATTTAATAAAATGTTCAACAAAATGATCCTTTCATTAAAAACATGCCTGGTTTGTCCTTCCTTGTACAAGTTTGTAAATACTTTTTTATTGTGCAGAGAATTGTCACCCTGGTTTGCTCTAAGAGGAAAATAAATCATTCGTGTGTTAAATTGATCTTTCCTACTTTGTGTTTTTTTCACAGAAAATAATCTTTTGAGACAGAACATCAGCTTCACTAAAGTGGCTGGGTTTAAATGCTTCCCTGCCGAGAGTTACTAGGCAACATCTCATTTGGTTTCACCTATAACAGGCTGTTTCCATTCTCCCTGTTCTGGTCATCTAAGTAATAAAAAGGGTGTGTACATTTACTTGGCCTTCTGTGGCCTAGCTTAGTCTTAAAACTGCTTAGTGTCTTTAGAAAGTGGACCTTTAGTGCACTGAGTTTGCTTTTGCTTTTAACCTTTGTGTCTTGGCAGCGTTTCACTGCCTGAACTTTCACAGGGAGAACTATAGCTCCTAACCTCAGAGAAACATCACAAAACAGCAATGTCCACAGCCAAACCAGGACAGCACGGCACGAAGGCCACCAGAGGTGGGAAGCAGCATGAATGAACAGTTGCTGCTACTGATGATAAGTGGTGACGGTCACGTTGCGTCGTTGGATCCATCGGCTAGAGGAGCGGCCGTGCTGCGTGCGGCGCTGCTGCTGCGTCGTGCGCGATGCGGCGCTGCCGCCGCCTGCTGCACCAGGACGCCTGGGCCCAACCTGCACAGCTCTCTGCACACCAGAGTCTGCAGGAAGACGTACCTGCGCCTTGGCTGGCTTTCTTTCACAGCCCCCTGGGTTTCTTTCTTTGAAGATCTGCTCTTAGAAAGATAGGCAATAGGATAGGGGCCCTTATAGGTCCTTATATTCAGCAGCCTTGTTTTCTCTGGCTTTTGGTCTTAGAGTGCAAGATGGGGGAGAAGGATCACAGTTATTTGCATACAAGATGACTTTCTCTCTTGCAAAGAATTATTATTAAGCTGCTTATTGGAGAATGTGACGAGATCTGCAGGTATGAAAATGTAAGTCATCTGTGTCTTTGCACTTCCCTTTGCTGGCTCTTTATGCTCATGTATCAGCTCAATCTTCTCTGTTTTTAAGATGTATCACAGCTTCATCCCACCCTGTGCCTTGGCTCATACATGTTTAAGGTAAGAGCCCGAGCTTTGCCAGGGATCTCTGACTCTGTATCTTCTAAGGGCAATTTTTTGTTCAAATAGGAAGAATTAGGTTGTGTGTTATCTTGGGCTGCCCTGAAACTAAAGAGAAGATCCATTTAGAAATCTGCACAGCTCTTTACTTGCCCTGATTCTTTTCAGTTTCTTCCTTAAAATTTACATCTGTCAGCAAGCAAGCACAGCACATCTAAACAACTGGAGCACTCTCATGATACCTGCCATAATAACCTTGTACTTCATACATCTGTTTAGAGTTATCTATGTGACACTTCTCATCTGTATTTGAACTTATTACCCAGACTAGTTTTAGTCTATAAACAGGCTTGCTGACATTTGTGGGCCAGTTCCCATGTGACATAAACTGTTGGACATTCAGGACTTTGATTTTAAGTTCTGAGGGACAGGGAACTTCATCATCTTCCTTGGCTGTGGTACCACCCACAGTAGAATACATCCCAGCTAAAGGCCCAAGGCATTATCATAGCATGAACTGATGAGTTTCATGATACTGTGATAATAATTCAATGAATCATCATGAAATGATGATAATAATGGAAGACACTATTCAAGAGTGTCATAAGGTGCAAGAGCTCCCCTCTCTACCTACACTAGCTTTGTTTTTCCACGATAAAGAGCAGTTGCATCTCTGAGATGAAAATTTTCTGCCAGGCAATTGTAAATTAACGTTCCATCACTTACCTGTGAAAAATCTTTTTTAACATTGCTATGTCATTAAATATGTAGTTTTGATAATAATACTTCATTTTCTCTCATTGAGTTTTCAAGTGACCTTATTTTAATACTAATTTGGGTTTATACACAGCTGAGAGGAGTTTTTAACATCTTAAACGATTACAAGACTTTCTTCCTATCTGCAACATCTCTACAGGGCAAGTAATTATTCTGTATCTTACCAGGGAATTGCGGACAAGGATTCGATTTGTTCAAGATTAAATTTTTAGCCAAGCCAGTATTACTCTACACAGTTCCTAACAGTGTTGAGATCTTCACACCCTACTTTTTCTAAAACTCTAGTCGTTACTCAATAAAATTAAGCACATGCTTTTCTTGCTATGGTAGTAAAACCGGAACAAGGCCAATTAGGTCAATGTTGCTGCATAGAGAGCCAGACTTGACCTCCTGAGAGCAAAAGTAGCAAAGACTTGGTTAAGAAATAGGCAGCTGTATTCCCTGGCAACACTGACCACTGCCATGCAGTCTAAAAACGCTGATGTTCTGCATGTCCCAGGGAAGCTGGGAGGCAATACAACTTCTCCATGGGCAGAGATTGATCAGGGAAGAGGCTGCAAGTTGCTTTTGTGCTGCGGGCAGCTTCACCCTGGAGTAAGGTGTACCTCACCACAGAGGTGCAGGGATGCTCTTCTCTCCCGGACCACACTCCTCATCATTTGGCTTCTCTTGGAAGGTTATGGAAACCTCGTCTTACTCTGGTCAAAACACAAATAAAAGATTTTTCTTGGAGCAAAAGCAGGATTTTGCCATTTCTGAACACTGTCAACCTGAGCTGGTTCTGGAAGGTGCCTGCATGTGGTGTTTGAGAAGAAATGGAAAAAGTCTCAAAGGGGGGTTTACTTTTTATTTCTTTATTTTTGGTTATGAGCAGCATGGTAAGGGCTTAGATAATACTCCTAAATGTACTTTCTGGTCTTCAAAATTGCACTTGTGTTGAACAGATGAGTCCTGCTACCGCCCAACCGAACTGCCTCTTACTCCATTCACTTAAGAAGACGCGCAGGGCACCAAAGTGTTTTCAAGCCATATTCCTGTGCCTGTCCCGCCTCCTGCCTCACCCAAGCGATGAGCTGCAGTAACGCTACTCGCAGCACGTAACCCATCAACGTCATGGATCTCATGGCTCTTTACACACAAACGATGCCCAGCCCCAGGCCTTCAAGGCAGTGCTGAGCCACACGTCCCAGCACAGGAGACCGGGGACAGCTGTGGGAAGTGGCTCATCCACAGGCACTGGGGCAGGACAGGCAAATCTGATTGCAGAAAGGGCCCTCAAAAGCTCTCCAAGCATGAGCTGCTGCCAAAACTCACAAAGGCAAAGTAATTTCAAAACAAGGTTCTTTACTGAAGAAGTGCCCGGATTTTTTCAAGATGGGAAGAATTTGACTCAAGGCAGGTGTGTCCATGGGGATGAGTTTTAGCAGGGCTAAGGAATGCGTGTGGAAAGCATTGGCAGCTTGCCACAGGATTGAAGAAAGAGAAATTCATGCCCATTATTATGCTCCCTTGTACTGTCTTTTCTTTTGTTTCTGTATTTTTCTTTTCTCTGTGGTCTTCCTATTTTCAGAAATCCCTTTGTAACACCCCCCTGGCCCTGGCTGGCCTGACTGCACCCATCCTCACCTTGGGCCTGAGCTCCCCTAGTCTCCGTGCTCAGCCTGCTCCTCTGGGTGCCGCGGAGGCGCTGAGAGCCGCAGCCACGTGCCCACGCCGGCAGCGCCCCGCACGCGCGCGGCCCCGGCGCTGCCTCCCGCGAGGCTGCAGCTCCTCAGCACTTGCAGACTGGTTCCTGGAAAGGAAAGGGACAAAGGAAGGTGCTGGGGTCACAGGGAGACAATCCGCTCCAGTGGCTTGCCCTCCAGAAGGAGTCACCACTAGCGCATGAGTTGCAGTCAGGTAGGCTGGCTGTTCGTAGAGGGTGACACTGAGGGAGCTCCCAGTGCTCACCTAGGAACGGAGGGTCTGAGATCAGACCCTGCTGATGTGACAGGCTCTTGGGGACAATTCTGGCAGAACCATAGGAAGCTTCTGCATTTTCTTGCATTGCTGAAGGAGAAAGCCTTGTGAAGAGCTAAGCTCTGGGCAGAGGCAGAAGCAGGTGTTTGTGCCTGGGAAGTTCAGGAGCTTGAGCACGCTGTTAATCAGTACACCAGGTGCAAAGTGAACCCTCACATGCCCCAGAAATGACCCTATTCCCAATCCAGAATATCTCTGCTCCCTACTTTAGGCTTTACATTACCTCTTATCCTGGGCCTC